GCTGCGCTGCGTCCCCCGGGCAAGCGGCCCGCGCCCCCCGCCGAGCCTCCAGCCAAGGCCGCCAAGGCCCCGGGCACCAAGAAGCCCAAGGCCATCCGCAAGCTGCACTTCGAGGACGAGGTGACCACGTCGCCGGTGCTGGGGCTGAAGATCAAGGAGGGCCCGGTGGAGGCGCCGCGGGGGCGCGCGGGGGGCGCAGCGCGGCCGCTGGGCGAGTTCATCTGCCAGCTGTGCAAGGAGGAGTACGCCGACCCGTTCGCGCTGGCGCAGCACAAGTGCTCGCGCATCGTGCGCGTGGAGTACCGCTGCCCCGAGTGCGCCAAGGTCTTCAGCTGCCCGGCCAACCTGGCCTCGCACCGCCGCTGGCACAAGCCACGGCCCGCGCCCGCCGCCGCCCGCGCGCCCGAGTCGGAAGCCGCCGCCAGGGCCGAGGTGCGGGAGGCCGCCGGCGGCAGCGACCGGGACACGCCGAGCCCCGGTGGTGTGTCCGAGTCGGGTTCCGAGGACGGGCTGTACGAGTGCCACCACTGCGCCAAGAAGTTCCGCCGCCAGGCCTATCTGCGCAAGCACCTGCTGGCTCACCACCAGGCGCTGCAGGCCAAGGGCGCGCCGCCCGCGCCGCCCGCTGAGGACCTACTGGCCTTGTACCCGGGGCCCGACGACAAGGCGCCCCAAGAGGCGGCCGGCGACGGCGAGGCGGCCGCGGTGCTCGGCCTGAGCGCATCCGCCGAGTGCCACCTGTGCCCGGTGTGCGGGGAGACGTTCCCCAGCAAGGGCGCCCAGGAGCGCCACCTGCGCCTGCTGCACGCTGCCCAGGTGTTCCCCTGCAAGTACTGCCCGGCCACCTTCTACAGCTCGCCCGGCCTCACGCGGCACATCAACAAGTGCCACCCATCCGAGAATAGACAGGTGATCCTCCTGCAGGTGCCCGTGCGCCCCGCCTGCTAGGGCGCACCGCACCCAGGCGCCCAGAACTGTGCCTTCCCTTGGAGACCCGCACGGAGAGCGCGCCCGGGCGCCCCACCCCCGGGTGAAAGTGTCCTCCTCGCTTCTCTTGGTGTGGCGTGATGGTAACCCCGTCCTCTCGTGGTGACTCCTCCTGGACCCCCGATTTGCGTTGTGTCCCCCTTCGTGGCGCCGCAGGAGTCCACCTCTTTCCGTCAGGGGGAGGAAAGCTATACGCGTGTGTCTCGTGGTCGGACGCTTCCCCTCGCTGCCGGGCGAAGCGGTTTTTCTTGCTAGTATTCACTGTGTTCATGGTCTAGAAATGCGGTTTGCTCTCGCCTACCAATCTCCGCTCTCTGTGTGTGTAGCGTACGGGTTGTTTTGGGTGAATCTTGAGGAATAAATGCCTTTATATTTCACAGGCTGTAAATCGAACTTCCCCCACGATTAGCTTTATTATGGCTTGTGAACTGCTGGAGTCTGGCTTTACCTTTTTGTATGTGAACAAATCAAATTGCTTAAAAAGAGAGTTTTCTTTAGTATAGCCACAAATGCCTTGAACTGTTGTCTGTCTGGGACGTTTTGGGAGGGAGGGAAGGGAATTTTCACAAGTTGCTGTAGTAACTGCCTCAGTATCTCGCATAAGGCTTTTTGGTTTGATCATCTTGATTGAGGTAGGACTATATGAGTTCCCTCTAAGTGTATATTTTGATTTATGAGTAATTGTTATTTATTCTTTATTTATTTATATTAATTATGAGATGATATTATTTGATTGCAGATTTTTTTGGTGCACTCTTCCTCCCTGCCACTCTTGACATTTCACTGTGCATTTTAGACAAGAGCCTTTTTTTCTAAAGGGATCTGCTAAAAGTTTTAACTTTTATACCTTTCTGAGGGAATTACAGACAACCTACCATTTTATTCTGCTTGGAGGGCCCCCGAGGCCCGTGTACAACTGACAGCTCTTACTTTTAAATGCAATCTCTTTTCTACATACATTATTTTCTTAATTGTTAGCTATTTATAGAAAGCTTCAATAGAACTGTTTCGACTGTATAAATATTTACTATTCAAATAAAATATTTTCAAAGTCAAAGTGTGGTGGGCTTTTTTATACACCCCATGTTCCTAACAAGGATTCAAAAGAGAGATTCTGAGCATATCTTAAAAACCACCTTTAGTTTTTGTTAAGAAAAAGAGCTCCATTGTCACTAGAGTTGTGGATTTTCAGAGGCGAACCTGAAATTGTGGGTTCTGCCCTCATGGTGATTGGAGGGTTCAGTCTGGAATCTGGTATGATTTTTGTGCCTTAAAAATGTGCTGGATAGGGTAGGGGGGTAGGGTGAGCCAGAGAGATCTAGCACCACAAGAACCTAACCTTTTCACCAAGGAGATGTAGGAGCACTTTCATTTAAGGAATCCTTCACTTCCCTACAGTTTTGGGCTCAGAGAACAGTGATTCCTCAGATAAAAAGGGGAGGTTTTGTTCCTTAAGAATCAATGAAAAGAAAGAAGAAAGGATTTTACAATCAGATTTCCAAAGGAAGGGAAACAAACCACTTTATATAGGGATGAAACAGAAGTTAAGCAACTGGGTTTGGAAGAAGGGCTCTGAAATAATTTTCCAATCAGGTGAGCAATCTATTTGGGGGAAAACTGGAACACCATCTGTTCAGGGTATTAAATTTAATAACAGGTAATTACCGTGTTTTCTGTTATGTGTCACTCACTCTTTAGAGAACAATTCTGACGCTCAGCAGCGACTATTTGGAGTGGTTCCTGTCTGAAATGTTTTTCTAAAGAGTTGTGCTAAACATCACACTTGCGCTTTCTCTCCCGTCAGTGTGATTTCGTGCTCCCTTTCCTGAAGCCCCTGTCTCCTAACATGTGCCTGCCAAAGAGATTTTCGAATCCACTCAGTGGAGAGATCTCCAGAGAGGAGCAGGGGCGCGCTGGCAAGGGCGGTCCAGGAGGAAGTGGAAAGGAAAAAATGACGAAAGAGATCATTTTTGGATTTTGAATCTTAAGTTCTAGTGGGAGAGTGTTCCGTAAGAGCTCAGTGGGTGGGAACACTAAATATTCTTTCTTCTGTGACAAGAAGGAGAACTCCTCAGGACAATGACAGCCAGCGTTTACCACCAATGACTCGAACTTTACCAGTTTGGGAAGTAAGGGGAGACAATGGCGGCGTTTACAGAGCCCTGAACACTTGGAATGAAACAAAAGAATGTGTAAGCTGCTGCTGCCGCTGCCCCCACCTGAAGACTGTGGAAGCTTTTACAATAACCCTGCCAAATCAGACCACACAGTACAGGGGCTTTCAAACTGAAAAAAATTACCAATTTCATTCTGTGGCAATAAGCATTTTATTGGGGTTTTTTTTGGAGGGCGTAGGGATGGAACACAAGGACTCACACATGCCAAGCAAGTGGTCTGTCACTGAACCACATCTCCAGCCCAAAAAAAGTTTTCTTAGAGGGCTGGGGATTTAGCTCAGCGGCAAAAGCGCCTGCCTGGCAAGCGCAAGGTCATGAGTTTGGTTCCCGGTACCGGAGAAAAACAAAAAACAAACAAAAGTTTTCTTAGAAACCTGAAGTTTGACCACACTCACGGTCCAGCCCTGTCTGGGAATGGGATCTTGCCCATTTCTCTTGTCCACAGTCCTAGCATACGAAACCATCTACAGTCCACCGTTAGCCAGGGAAATAGGATTTGCTTGTTTGCCAGCATACACCTTCATCCATAGTGTACTTCTACTGCAGATGACCAAAAACACCTTTTCTAAAATAGAACCCAAATTTCACTTATGTGAGATGCTAAATACAGCTCCGTGGTACATGGAGTTGACTAAATGATGTAGAAGAAAGCTTTGGTCCATTTATTTCTAGATTATGCAGTAGGAGTTAACAATTCCGCTCAGGAAGGAGACCAGCAGTCTCAGTTCTGCATCCCTGGGTAGTAAGCACACAAGATTCCTATCACAAAACAAAAAACCGGCTGGAGGGCGGGCACCGTCCTCACAAACTCGCCCAGGTCTGGTCAGGACAGCAGCCAAGTCCCCCTCTCTGCCTCCACATCCCACAGCAAGAGCTCAGTGGGGACAGGGCCAGGAGTCAGGGAAAGCAATACAGTGAAGGAGCCCAAGGAGGGAAGAAATAAAAGAGCGGGCTTGATTTTTTCAGCACCACTACACTTCGCTATTTCCCTGCAAATATAGTAAAATAAACAGTGAAAAGAGGTCGTGCAGTCCTCGCTTCCAGAGTGAGCCGAGAGACGCTGGCTTTGAAGCTCTGGCAGTCCCGGGAGTGGGGAGGCGGCGGAAGGGACGCCAGAGCGCTCTGCTTCTCTTGGGCCGGGGCAGCTTCCCGAGCTCGCCGGTCCTCCCGGCCTCCGGGTAGCACCATGGACAGGGCGACCGCGCCTGGCAGAAGGCTGAGCCTGCCGCTGGGCTAGGTCTGGGGAGAGACTCCCCGTGACACATGAGGGCATGTCAGGGTGCCCTGCAGGGACACAGCCGGACAGGACAACCCAAGCCACAGGGGCCATGCCTAGCACGTCTTTATCTGGACACTGCCGAGTAGGAGGCGACATTTCTCATCTGCTACCTGTGCCAGGCCTAGCAGCCTTCTCCGTCCCCAGCTGACCTGTCCTCTCCTCCTGGACTCAGGGCCTCAGCCAGCACAGGCCACAGACAAAACTAGCAGAATGGCCTTTGCAGTCCTCGGGAACAGGTGACATCCCAGGGGCTCTTCTTGTGCTATGAGTCTGGCAAAAGAGCACAGGGTTCGAGTGGGCTTGGGTGGCTCTGGGGCTTCATGAAGTTGCACTGGGGCTTCCTAAAGCCTCTGCATCTTCATCTGTAAACCGGGCCAGTACTCCTGGGAATGCCTGCAGGACCTGGCACCTGCGGGAAGACATCCGAGGAGGACTCTGGCGGGACACAGGGCCTCTCATTCAGACGGGTGGGGGGGAACCTGTCTTCAGTGCTGTCCTGCATGGCATTTACATCAGCTCTGAACCCTGGCCTGAGGCATGCTTGCTTTGAGCAAAATTGCCATCTTTGTAAAATGGACATTTTGGCCTTGTAGAGAAAATTCCTGGCAGCGAGACTCTGGTGTGTGGGTTAAAATATGTCACCCAGTTGGCTTGTTATGGGGCTGGGAGAAGTTAGTTTTTAATGCCCAGGCTAGAGAAACCTGTAACATTTGGTAGCTGCAGCCATGGAACTTAGAGACGCACAGGAAAGAAACTGAGTCGTAGGGAGAAACCTGTGACGTGGCAACAGACTCAGCAGTGTGCGTGGTAGCGGAGCAGGGCGCACAGCGTGGCAGAGGACGCAGAGGACTCCACCTCTCCATCCTGGAAACCTCTGATCGGTGCTTTGGCCCAAAAGTATTGCTTTGAGAATTGCTTGTGGATGAGACTGAGAGCAGCTAAACGCATCTTTGAATTACATTCTATCTTTCAAAAAAAATTTGATATGTTTTCTAATTTTATACCTCAGAGAAGTTATTAATTTTTTATGACTGCACGGTAGCATTTGGGAAAGTCTGGTGGACCCATCCTTGTGGTCTGAGATGTAGCAGTTGTCCTTTGCATGCACATCGGCAGCACAAAGTGGCGGCAGGCTCTGGAGTGGAGGAGACTTGTTTGGGAGGACAAGAGTATCCCCACCCAGCAGCTCTTCATAAGCACGCTACACAGGCAGCCTCCTGGGAGGGGCTGCCCCTATCCTGGAGCCCCTGTATCCTCGGGTTCACCCTGTTCCCCTGGCACATCATCTGCCAGCGCTTCTATGCAAGGCCAGGGCCACTGAGTCCTTAGGAAGGGGCCAGAGAAGACACCTGCCTGATGAGTCCCATGAATAGGGGGAATCTTTGTTTTGCACTGGGAGAACTTGGGCACTCCTGCATCCTTCGGAGGTTGCCAAGGAAACTGGTCAATAATTTCAACACCCCCTCATCTTGGGCAAACAGCTAGGTACAGGCTTTGATTTCATGAAGGCAACTTCCCAAGCAAGATGGTTCCCATTTCTTTGGACACATTCCTTCTGAGGAACTGCAGGGGAAATCATGAGGCCAGAGGAGGTCTTGAAAGCAACCGAGCCTGATGAAAGGTGTCACCAGCAAGGGACCCATGGGGACCTCTGGGGTGAAGGAATTGATTTCTTACAACTGGGTGACAGAAAAAACACCTTGGTGATCAAATTCACCCTTCTCAATCCTCTATTTTTTTTTTTAATCTTTGCTATTGCCTGATATGCTTCTCGAACATCTGATTTGAGGTCAGTGAGTATCTTTTTGCTAACCCAAACACCACCCTCTCCCTCCCTTCAGCCTCGGCTGTCATCATTCATCTACCAGCTACTTTTGTTGTGGGCCTGCTGTGCTGCATCTGGAAAGTGGATATTCAAGACACACACACATTCTTCTGCATGGCGAGCAGATGGATTACAGGGTGAACGTGTCCGCATTTGTCTTGTTTGAAGATTTCCACACTGTGTGGTCTTCCTGGTGGCTTTTCCATACAAAGCATCACACTGATGTCTTTTTTCTTTAACTCACAGCCATGAGCCCACCCTACCGGGATGAAATATCCTTAGCACATCGCCAAATAGGAATGAAACCTAGACAGTGTTTACCATCAGGAGGAGCACGCACAAAGGTGTCATGCTTGGGAGCCAGGGTTCCAGGCATGTCACACTCTCACATTCATGCCCTGTAAGAGGCTCAGGACTCAGAGTGCCCTTGCAGCTCCTCTGGCACAAAAGCCAGGCACCCACTGCTCTTCCACTGGTCTGAATCAGTAGGTGAGCATAGCACAGCAGGGCAACAATAACGCCGGAAACTCCAACCTTAAGTCATTCTTCTTCTCTTTCCCTCATCAAAGGACGCTTTTATTTGAGTGCAACATCTGCTTTGTCTCTGTTGCACAGGGGCCAGCTCTGTAGTGCAATGCCCCCTTCTCAAACGCAGCCAGTCACACCTGTCG